TCAAGAGCTTAAGATTTGCCATTATAATATTAATGTGCAACCAAAATTAAAAATTATCCGTTCATCAAAAGAAATTAAAATAAAATCATCCATTCTCAAAGAAAAAAAATTAAAATCATCTAAATATCTAATCTTCCACACAATATTTAGACCATAATCATGATGACCAAAAATTTCCATAATTGGTAAAAAGAGAAGAAATTTTCACAAACCATAGTTATCTCCAAGAATTGAAAGCCATTTTTCAAACTTTCCCAGTCTTCACGTTGCACAACAGTAGCACAAGACTTGTAAAAGCTGTATTATTATTATGGTGGGGCAAAAGGGCAATGAAAGCACCAATTAAATTGACTTTAAAGCAAACAAGGACCAAAAAGACATCCAAGTCCTAGCGAAAGGTGTTTTATTTGCCTATCCATGGGACTATATATTAATCTACAAGCAAAATTAAATATCACATCTCATCTTCCATACAATATTGAAACCATCATTATGAGGGAAACTTTCCGTGCTATGCTTGTTCTAGTTGCTGTATTGTTCTTTGGAGCTGCAGAGTTTTGTTCTGGTCGGAACACAAGCTTTAGCTGTATAGAAAGGGAGAGAGAAGCCCTTTTGAAGTTCAAACTTTGTTTCCATGATCCATCGCATATGTTGTCTTCTTGGAAAGGAAATGACTGTTGTGCATGGAAAGGTGTAGATTGTGACAAAAATAGTGGATATGTTACCTCGCTTCAACTCAGGGGATCAATATCTTATCAACTTGATTGGTATAAACAACCTCAATTGTGCTTGATGACCGATGTAGAGGAGGTTGTTTCAAGTTTGCTCAAGCTAAGCTACTTGGAACACCTGGACTTGAGCAACAATAATTTCAGTGGTAATCTTATTCCACCCTCCTTTGGCTTGATGAAGCAGCTGAGGTACCTAAATCTCTCTAATGTGCAATTCAGAGGAAGAATTCCTAGTGAACTTGGAAATCTTACAAGGCTTCGTGTTCTTGATCTTTCTTGGTATTATTATGGGAGATTGAAGGTTAATGATGACATTCAGTGGATTTCTCATCTCTCCTTTTTGCAACGACTTGATATGAGTGGAGTAACTCTAAGCCATGCGTCATCAAACTTGTTTCAGGTACTTGGCATGCTTTCTTCATTATCATGGTTGAGTCTGTCAGACTGTAGTCTAAAAAATTCTCACCTGCCATCTCACAACCATCTTCTTAATTTTACATGGCTTGGAAATATTCAACACTTCGATGTTTCAGAAAACTCTTTTCATGGTCCCATACCTACTTTTCTCCAAAACATGACTTCATTGACATTTCTTGATATGAGTGGAGTAAATCTAAGCCTTACATCATCAAACTTGTTTCAAGTACTTGGTATGCTTCCTTCATTATCATGGTTAAGTCTGTCAAGCTGTAGTCTCAAAAATTGTCACTTGCCATCACCCAACCATCCCTTTAATTTTACGTTGCTTGGCAATATTCAACACTTAGATCTTTCACATAACTTTTTCCAAGGTCCAATACCTATATTTCTCCAAAACATGACTTCCTTGATATTTCTTTATCTTTCTAGCAATCAATTGAGTGGGAGTATTCCAGATAGTATCGGGCAACTCTCTAAGTTAAAGAGCATAGCTCTTTTTGATAATCAATTGAGTGGGAGTATTCCAGATAGCATCGGGCAACTCTATAAGTTAGAGAGTATAGCTCTTTTTTATAATCAATTGAGTGGGAGTATT